TGTGCTAATCCTAAAACTGGATAAAGATAATAAAGAAAAAAGTATGAACATAGATAGAAATTTGTTTAACAAAACAAACTATTGGAAGTCAGATCTGGCAGGATGTAGAAAGTGATTTTGTTATAATGATGGCAGTGTTGGTTCAGCATTGGAAGATCTACCCCCCAAAGTCATCATTTTAACAGAAGAAAGGAAAAAGCCACATGATCCTGCCAGTAGTTGGAGAAAAAGTGTTGGACTAAATTCTACAGTTGTTCATGGTAAAGTCTATCAGGAGACTAGAAGTAGAACAGAACCTTCTCAATAGATCAAAGACAGGTACTCCATACTTCCAGCAAAAACGACTTACATGAATGGAGAAGATGCAATGCTTTCTCCCTAAGGTGGGGAACAAGGGCAGATATACCTACTCTTCATCTGTCCATTAGACTTTGAAACATAGGGCCAAACCAAAATAGTCTGGCCATAAAAGTAAACAAATAGCATAGGATTGGCAAGGTAGAAGTAAAATCTTTATATGCAGATGAAATGATCATCTACAGAGAAAATACTAAGAAATCTCCAGGAGCCCCTAGAACTTGTATTTGAATTTAGCAGGATTAGAAAACACAAGGTACATATAAAAATTCAAGTCTGTGTATACTTGCTATAAATGAAGAATTGGATATTGAAATTTAAAGTTATGTAGGAGTACAAAGGACCTAAAAAGGTAAAAAGAAAAAGAAAAAAAAAACAGTGTTGGAGACATTTAGCACCTAATTTTAAGACTTCCTCTAAAGCTACAGTAATCAAGGCAGTGTTGGTGTAAGGAAAGACATATAGATCATTGGGATAAAACAGAGAATCTAGAAATAGAACCACAAATATATGAACAGAGGGAAAGATCGTGTTTTCAGCAAATGGGTCTAGAACACCTGGTATCCATATATAAAAAATTAACCTCAACCCTTTATTTCCATACATGAAAATAACTTGAAAGGTTCTGTGAACTTAAATATGAAAGACTAATACTATAAAACTTTAAGAAGAAATTATAAGTGAAAATGTTTATGAATTTAGGGTAGGCAAGAATTTCCTAGGATTTAAAAAACATGATATATGAAAGAAATTGATAAATGAGATTCCATCAAAATTTAGAACTTTAAATGACATTAAGAAAATGAAAAGTAGTCCTTAAATCATATTTATATTGCATATTAACCTATGACCAGAATATATAAAGACCTCTTACAGCTCATTAATAGACAACCCAATTAAAAAGTAGACACAAGGTGATGATAAATAGCCAGTACAGCACAAGGAAAGGTGTGCAACTGTAGAATCAGAAAAATACTAATCAGTACAATAACAAGATTGAATTATACACTTGTTAGGGAGATGAAGTTAGAAGTTTTAAAAGAACGAATGTCAGCTTAGGTGTGAACTGATTAGAACTTTCTAATACTGCTAATGTGTATGTAAAATGATAAAACCATTTTGCAAAACAATATAGAAATTTCTTGTATTACTGTTAAGAACCAACAGTCCTGTTCTCAAGTTTTTACTTGAGAGGAATGAAAACATGTTCACAATAGATTTGTACATATAAGTTGACTGTCCCTTATCTGAAATTCTTGGGACCAGTGTGTTTCAGATTTTGGTTTGAAATCCACTTGATCTGCAAAGAGGATAGGTACTCCTGCTTTTCTTTTTGGGTTCCTGTCACATAGAGTATTGTTTTCTACCCTTTAACTTTCAGACTGTGAGTTTCTTTTTGAATTAAGTGTGTCTCTTGTGTGCAGCATATTGTTGGATCTTGCTTCTTGACTCATTCTGCCAGTCTATTTCTTTTGATTGGTGAATTGAGACCATTAACATTGATGGTTAAAACTCGTACATAGTGACTTATGATTGTTATGACTTTTTCTGTTTGTTGGATTCTTCCCCTTTGTGTTTAATTTCTTGTCGCACCTGACGGATTCATTCTGCTGGGCTTTCTGGGGTTGTGATCCTCATTGTCTTTTCCTAGCATATTGTCTAAAATTTTTTAGAGTGCTGGTTTGGTATTCATGAAGTTCCTAAGGTGCTCTTTGTCATGAAAGTATCTTATTTCTCCATCAGTTTTGAAAGATA